ATTACATTGTCAATTATATCTAGATGCTTACCCTTTATAGCTTATATTCAAAAACACTAGAATGGTCAACCTTCGAATACTTCAAATATCTATAGGCAAATAGCAAGTATCATAGTAGTGATAGTGGAATGATAAGCAAAATACTCCATTTCAATTATGAAATCTGCATATCACTCAAGGAGATTAGTGCTTGTAGTTCAAAAGTAAACTCCAGCATACTATTCACTGGTATTGACAGAAACAATATTTTTCTAAATACAGAATAAGAATATGTATAGACTTCACATCCTCCTATGGTTTTTGGATATGGACGGTTAAATGCTGTTGGGCATGGTGGTGCATGCACATGTAATCCTGGCATCAAAAGTCTGTGCAGTTTTGTGGGTTAGGGAGAGTCAATAACTGTTTGAGAAAGGATTGAGGATGTAGGTCAGTGTTAAGGTTCTGGATGCAATCCCCATGGAGGCTAGCTGGCTGGATACTTTATCCTTTTGCTTTCTTTGGCTGTGTACATATACCATGATATGCAGCTGAATCTGTGCACCATAGCATAATCCTTCCTTGGGCCTTAATTTGTCCTAACTCTGTTCTAGGAACATAAGAATATCGTCAAATTCATAATTCTCTCTCCTGGGAAACCATACAGTCTTCACCAGTGTAGTGTTTTTGTAGTTTCTGGGGCTCTAGATTATTCAACCAGGAGTTTGCCCATGAGAGGCACGTGCTAACCCACTGAGCTACACCCCAGTTTTCATTAGTTGTTGTACTTTGATAAGGAATAGCCTCACACCCACATATCCAAGGTCACTCAGAGTGGTGCAAGTTACTCATTTTTCCAACAAGTTTCATTATGTAGCTCAGATAGCCACAAACTCAGTAATCCTCCTGCCTCAGCCTTCCCAGTGCTGAGATTACATGCATCGGCTGCCATAGGCTAAGAATGTGATTTGTGACCAAAGGTCTACTGAAGGTTTTCTCAATAATAATATAAGTAGGGCCAGGGATTTAGCTCAGTGACATAAGTGCCTGCCTGGCAAGCATGACGTTATGAGTTCAATCCCTGGTACCAAAAAAAAATAAAAATAGTATGTAATTATGCTGGCTTTTTATGGGTTTTAAGCATTCACTTAACAACTATTCGATGTGGGCCTCCTGTGAACTGAGTTCTGTGCTCAGAGCCAGATGTAGTAGCTACTAGTAGCTACTAACATAAAGCAGCTTCTGATGCACATTGCATTCTAATTCCATGCAGCTGTAGAAAGTTCAGAAATGTACCAGAATATCCTGACCCAGTAATAACCAGTTTCTGAGGAAAAAAGAATGGAAAAAGTAAGGGGAGAGGAAATGCCAGGCATCCAGGGACACACTTGCAATCTCAGCACTTGGGAAACTGAGACAGAAGGATCTCAGCAAGTTCAAGTCCAACCTAGGCTAAGTAGTTCAAGACCAGGCTGTAGTACACAGTGAGATCCTGTCTCAAACAACATAAAATAAATGAATAAAATAAAGAAACTAAAGCATAGGATTAAAAAAGTAAAAAAATAACCAATTTCTGAGTTTTTCATTGGTCGTTTTGTACTGGGGGTTGAACATAGGACTGAGTTATGCCCCAAGGTCTTTTTTGTTTGTTTGTTTAGATAAATTCTTATTACACAGGTTAGATTAAGGCTCAAATTTGCCACTGTTCTGCCCCGGCCTCTCCCAGACTGCTAGAATTACGGCAGGTAGCATCCATTCCTTACTTTTTTCATTTAGGTTAAGGTCAGCCTGTTAATTAACTACAGCTCACCTATGGAAGTCTGTAGCAGTCCTCCACTCACAGACACAGCACAGAGTGAACACACTCTTTCATCCAGGATCGAGTGTTGGTTCTACCTCCAAAGCCCTCCTCATGTTCCTTCTCGCTGGTTTCCACATCTCAGAACAGCCATGCTCCGGCTCTCTAACATTAAGGATTAATCTCCTTTGTGTCACAATTTATTATGTAAAGAATTCTTAGAGTATTTCCCCTCGCTCTTTGACTCAGTGCTTCAGTTAGGAGAATAATCCACCTTCTGTTTAATTGTAAATAATTCTCATTGCTAAGTAATGTTCTGTCATTGTGAATAATTATAACATATTGGGCCATTCTACTGGTGATGACATTTTGGTTATTTCCCATGGGGTACCACTGTGCATCGTGCTGCTGACTTTGGGAAATGGGACAGTGCACTAGCGGAATTTCTGGGTTATAGATATATGCAAATTTTCAGCTTTGTTAATACTAATATTTTTCCAAGGCGTTACCTTTTAAAATTTCATTTTAATTGTTCAATTTTGTTTGTTTTTCTTTGCGGGGGGGGGGGTTCTGGAAAGAGGATAGTTCACTGTGTAGTTCAGGCTGCCCTCAAACTTGGGGTGATCATCTTGCTTCAACCTGAGTGAAGGAATAAGGCTTGCCCCAACATGTCCACTTTAATTGTTCTTTAAATTTTACAAATACACAGTGTATTAAGAGTTCCAGTGTCTCCGTATTTTTAGCAATAAATACACTTCTTGATATTTTGTTGTCAATGGGGATTGAACTCAGGACCTTGCACTTGCTAGGCAGGTGCTTGTGCCACATTTCCCCTTGATATTTTGTAATATCAAGTTAACAGTTCTTCTTGGTATGTAGTGTCTCTTCTTCATCCTCTTCTCTCTCCCTTTTTGTTTGTTTTACTTTGGATTTTTTTTTTTTCTTTTTATCGGTAACGGGGATCAAACTCAAGACCGCCTGCTTGCAAGGCAGGTGCTTATGCCGCTGAGCTAAATCCCCAGCCCCCTTTACTTTGGATTTTTGAGACACGCTCCACTATGTAGTTCAGGCTGGCCCCGAACTCACAGTGATCCCCCTGCCTCAGCCTCCCCAGTGCCAAGATAATACGTGTGTTCCACTGTGCTTAGCTTCTTCAACCTCTTCTGCCTGTTTTGTTTTGTTTTGTTTTTTAAATAAACATATAACAGGGCCAGAGATATAGCTCTGCAGTACAGAGCCTGCCTGGCAAGTGTGAGGTTGTGAGTTCAATTCTCAGTATACCCTGCCCCCCCCAAAAAAAAAATATACCCCAAAATTGCTATCCTAATCTTTGTTTTTTTTCCTTGTGGTTGGTGGTGGAGCTCAGGGGCATCAGGCATGCTGGATAAGCACTCTGCCATCAAGACGCCCAGCCACCCCAGGCAGGTTCCACATTAACCATTTTTAAATGCAGTTCTCAGGGGGTGAGAAACAAACAACTCTGCCCCCTTACATTACAACTCCGCTGTCCCCCTTCCCCCTGATAACACTCTACTTTCTGTTCCTTTGAATTTGATAGTTTCAGCACACTTGGATGAGTGCGTTCATGCAGTCTTTGTCCTTTTGTGTCTGGTTTGATATCCTTGAGATTCATCCATGCTGTACCTGTGGCAGAATTAAGGATTGTGTGTATGGACCAAATTTTGTCTGCTCATCTTTGTAGGCCACTGGGGTCACTCTGAAACCAGGTGTATGAAAAGCCCCCTCAAGTACCTTCTGTCAATTCTGGATATAGACTAAGAGGTGGGACTGCTTGATCATATTGAAACTCTAAGTATAAAGGTTTTCAGAAAATGATTCTCTGTTTTGTTTTGCAGTACTGGAGATTGAACCTTGGGGTCTTCACCCTGAGCTATATCACGGCCCCTTCTATTTATTTATTTGTTTTTTTTATTTATTGAGACAGCATCTGCCATGTAGTTTAGGGAGGTCTTGAACTTACTATGGAACCTAGACTGGCTTCAGATTTACAGTGATCCTTTTGCCTTAGCCCCTCAAGTGCTAGGATTACAAGCGTGCACTATCAGATGTACAAGGTCTTCCTCAGTCAGTAAATTTCCCTGTCTGAGCTTAAACTTGGAATCCTCCTACCTCTGCCTCCTAGAACTTAAACTTACAATCCTGCCTTTAGCCTCCTATAGCTCAGTATCCTTATAGGTGTGTACCACTATGCCTGCCTTGGAGGGTGTTTTAAACATGGTTGGATGATTATAGGAGTTACAGGGACACTGCCTTATGTATTGTTCTATACAGCAAAATGCTTTAGTGAACCAGAGATCTATAACTTCCTCACATGGCTAAATGTCAGTATTCACATATATTTGTTTGTTTATTTTTAGTGAAGCTTGGAAGTTTAAGCCTGTAATCCTAGTACTGAGAGAGACTGAGCCAGAAGGATCACAACTGAGTTCCATGTGAACAGTTATGCCAAAACCTGTCTCAAAATGAAAAATAAAAGCCAGGTGTGGTGGGGCCTGTAATCTCAGCACTTGAGAGTCTGGAGAAGGAGGATCACCTCAAGTTCAGGGCCAGCCTGCCTACACATCCAAAAATAAAATAAAGCAAAAAAAAAAAAAAAAAAAAAAAAACCCTTTAAAATTAAAAGATGAAAGTGCTGAGGATAAAACTCATAGTCTAGTCTTCCTTTTTTGAATCCCCATTAATGCTTATATAGATGGACAGAATATTAATTTTTGTTGTGCATTGTGATACTGAAAATTGAATCCAGGGCTCATTGAGCTACAACCCTAAACATGTGATCCTCCTGCTTCAGCCTTCCACTCAGAGGAAGGTTAATCTAAGCTTAAATGTTGGGAGTTGTGGTTCTTTTTATTCAGCTATGTTTGTCCTGTTAATATTTGTGGAAGAAGAGAACAGTTATGTTTTCCTGATCCTGTTTTCTCTCAAAGAAACCATCACCATAATGAAGCAAAACACAGACTCTTTGCAAGTACAGATTCCTCTTCTGCCTGTCTTTTGTTCAACATGTGAACTGACATGCTTTTCGTGCATATTGGTTGTGTAGAGATGAATACAGGACAGTGGATAGTCCCCTGGGCTTCTAGAGAGGTCTCAGCCACTGTTGATCTTAATAGATTCTTTTTTAATAAACTGACAGGAGTAGCCATTGCCTTCACACTGAGGATGCTCGTTTTCCATAGATAAATACATTCTGCTTTTGCAGGTTATCAGAAGAAGCAGTGAGGAAGAGGAGGTTCTTTGTTTGGTCCGGGAGCGCCCAGGCCACCAGTGTCAGACTGCTGTGATGGTGATGCTCATCGTGGTGTGGGATGGCATCCCTCGGCCAATGGCGGACAGACTGTACACGGAACTCACTGAGAGCCTAAAGTCATACAATGGTCACCCGACAGACCGAAGATGTACCCTCAATGAAAAGTAATCAAATCTGTTTTGTACCGCTTTGACATTCAGATCTCTAGTTTATCGTGGGAAATTACTACTTACCTCCCACCTCAGTATATTAAATGGGATAATGGGATTTAAGGTGCCATGGAAGTAAAAGCAGTTAGCATTTTCAGAGAGTTAGTGAAACCAAACTGTGATGCATGCCTCTGTCACTTGGGAGCCTACAGCAGGAAGATCTGAGTCTGTGGGTTCTACCTAGGAAACTTAGCATGTCCCTGACTCAAGAAAGGAAAAGACCTGGGATATAGCCTAACATGAAGGCCCTGGGTTCAACCCCCAGTGTTACAGGGACCACAGTTTTGGGGGTGGTGCTGGTGCCCAAATCCAGGCTCTTCCTCAAGGCTTACTGGGTACCCCAGCCCTGAATGGAATGACACCCCTACTCTGTAGGGGATTCTTTGTCTGCTTCCCTCTTCGCCACCTGGCCTTGCTCACATAGAGTGGGACAGAAAGGGATTTTAACAGAAAGTTCCTCCTAAGGGGCTAGCAGCGTCAGTATTTTCTCTATTCACAATAAAAGATTAGCTGTTTGCTTATGTTCTGATAAATGTGTTGTCACATTTGAGTTTGGGGCCATTTAATAGGGAAAGGGCATCAGTGTGAGTGTGATTGTGATTGTGTTCTAATTACTGAGTCCTTTTCTGTGGTTAAGAGCCACTGGCTATTCTTTTATTATCTGCTTCCTTTCAGAAAGGTTCGAGCTGGGGTCGGGGTCTGTTGTCCTGGCTGATGTTTAACTAGAAGGTCACTTATCCTCCTTGTGTAATGTTTGAGTGCTGGGACTGCAGATCTGGACCTCCACACTGGCCCTTTCTTATTTTCTTTGTCAGCTGTTAATTATTCTAGGCCAGTTTTCTAAGGGATCACTGTTCATTTTGTCGCCATTTTTATATACTGGGGCTAGTAAAGCTCTGTCCAGAATGTGTTTGCAAATACTCTTCCTAATCTGTCTTTATACTTTTTGCTATGCTGTCTTTTCCAAAAGTTTCTTTAGTTATGCAGTAAAACAGATCTCAACCTGTTGAGTTTGTTTTTTAAAGGTGGTTAGGTATGTTTCCCACTTTTACAAGTTAAATGATAATAATAGATACATGTTTTCTTTTTTTGTGTGCAGGAGATTAAACCTATGGCCTTATGTATGCTCCCACTGAGTTACGTCCTTGGCCCTATACTACATAAGGCTGCTCTGGGTGGTGGCACACACCTATGATCTTAGTATTCTGGGAGGCTGAAGCAGGAAGATCCCCATTTGCATTTTAGCAAGACCCTATCTCAAAACTTAAAAAGGGCTGGGAATGTAACTCAATGTGAAGGCTCTGGATAGGCTCTCACTACTGCCACTCCCTAAAAGTTATTATTCAAAGTATAAGTTTAAAAGTATGTATAAAATTTTCTTCTCAATCCACATACAAAATTAACATCTGATTATTTTCTAAAGTTTACAAATAACCTTGACTTATTTAATCCTCCCAGTAAGTTAATGTGTTTTTATTTTGCCTAATGTAGATACATCACATCATTTTTGTTTTGTTTTGTTTTTAAATTGTCTTGTACTAGGGATGCAACTCATAACTTCATGCTTACCAGGCAGGCACTTATGCTACTGAGCTGAATCCTCAGCCCACCACGTCATTTTTTTAAAAACTTCATTTTTACAGAAAATGTGTAAGACTACTTCAGTGATGCTGCGGCGTGGTGGTACATGCCAGAGGCAAGAGGATCACTGGGAGTTGGAGATCAGCCTGTGCTACAAAGTGAACTCAAGGCCAGCCTGAATTGCATAACCCAACCCTGTCTCAAAAAGACAAAAATGAAAACAAATCAAAACAGAAAACCAACAATTGAAGTGAATTTTTATATATCCTTATCTAGATCCAGCATTACTGTAGTTTTTCTATACATGTGTAAGCACACAATAAATATAGTGTTACTGTTGATTTACTTTTTTTATTTGAAAGCATTTATGCATTCCCACCCCAATAATCAGTCCATCAGAGTGGATTTACCTAATGTAAGGATATTCTTTTATATAACCACAATATAATTATCAGGATAGTGAAATTTAACTTTAATGGAAATACACAGACTTGTAGTGTATGACTCTACTCCCAGAGTTGAGGAGGCAGGAAAAAGGATTTTTAGTTTGAGATCAGTCTGGCCTACATCACAACATACTGGCTCAGTAACCCCCCCCCCCAAAAAAAAAACCTATTATGTAATGTCTACTTTATATTAAAACATGTAGTTTCCAGTCATATGCATCATCGTAATTTCCCCCATCTCAGATTTGGAATATTTTATTATTTCGTCTTTTTTTGTGTCTAAATCCAGCTATCTTGGTGTTTGCCTTTCATGGCATTGAAAGTATTGACCAGGAAATGATATTTTTGTTGATTCTTAGTTAATTTTGGCTTGCCTTCTGATTCAAATCTGCTTTAGAATTATTGACAGTTAAGTATGGAGGTATTTGCCCATAATGCCAGCACTCAGGAGGTCTGAGGCAGGAGGGTTGCTGCGAGTTAAGGGCCAGCCTTTACCATAGTGAATTAGGACCAGACTGAACTCTGTCTCAAAAAACAAAAAGCCAACAACAAAAAACAAACATCATTGGCAGTGTACTGTACTCAACATTAAACGTAAACTATCTGAAGTCAGTTTGTTCCTTTTTGGTGATACTACCTGAGGAAACTACTAAGTCTCATAATTTGTCATATTTTTAAAATAGCAGTTAATAATAAGTTAAACTACATTTTCTCTTCAATTTTTTTTCCAAGGCATACATAAATTACTTATTTTTCCCTTGGTTTAGTAGCTTTAATTTCCTTGTGAAATTTCAAATTTAATGTAACCCCTTTGGCTTCATTTGTATCTTATTTGTCTTCTTTTTCAAGTTGTTGTGCCATCTTGTGCTCCTTCTAAAGATCCATCCCATCTACATAAGAAGTTTAAGGGAAAGTTAGAATAGCTGAACCAGTCTTCATCTTAACTCTTCATTTTTTCTTTCTTTTGTTTTTGTTTTTTGAGAAAGGGTCTCACTGTGTAGTTCATCTTGAACTCATAATGCTCCTCCTGCCTCAGCCTCCGGAGTGCTAGTATTATAGCAATGTGCCATCGTGCCCAGATTATCATTTTACAAGTGCTGCATTCTATTAGAAGTTTTAACTCTTAATGTGACTTTAAAACCACTAAAAGAATGTGTGCTATTTTCTTTGTGTTATAAATATATATCCTAACCCTTGTCAGTTTTACTGTAGAGTCTAACTTAGAGCTTCAGGATTACCCAGAAATGTTACATTTACCAAATTATTGCTAATTTATTCTCATTTTTATACTCAGTCTTTCTTTAAAATTGACAGCAAATTTATATTCAATGTTACATTCTCTCTTAATTCTCAGGAAATGTGTGGGTCTCATTTTTGACATAAAGGATCTAAGATGTAAAAAGATAGTGTAGCATTCTAATTTTCATTTCTAATAGGGAATAAATCTGCGTTTTAAAATCGAGGCGCAAGCTGGTCATGGCGGTGTATACCTGTATCCCAGCACTTGAGAGGCTGAGGCAGGAGAATTGTGACTAGTTTGAGACCAGCCTGGACTGCAGAGTAAGACGCTGTCTCAAAATTTAAAAAAAAAAAATCAGGCCCATTATTTCTTCACGTCACATATATGCAAATCAAACAAAGTGATTGGTTTTAGCTCCCTAGGTCTAAATATTTTAGAATTGTATATTTGCCATTTATTTGTATTTAACATTTTGAATGAATTTTTTATATAAATTGTAGTTATAAAATGGATACATATAACCTGTCATTGGCTATCGTGTGTGTATTTCCCAAGTTCTGTGACCTGAAATGTTTTACTCAAGGAAGTCTCCTGCTTTCTGAGTTGACTCCCTTGCCGTTACCATGTTACAGTCGTACCTGCACATGCCAAGGAACTGACCCCGAGACCTGCGGAGCTTCATTCTCTTTCGGCTGTTCATGGAGCATGTATTTCAATGGATGCAAATTCGGTAGAAGCCCAAGTCCCAGAAGATTTAGAATTGATCCAAGTTCTCCCTTAAATGTAAGTGTCCTTTCTGTTTTTAATTACACAATGTATATATAAATACGTTTCTTTAGCTTTTTCGAATGCTAACAAAATTAAAGTTTAAAAAGTAATAAAATACTAAATATATAAACATATAATTTAAAATTCTAAAGAAATTGAGAGCTTCAATTATCAACCCAAATCCCAGTTGTCCCTGGCCTGCCTCCCCTTCTCTTGCTCCCCAAACCCCAAGGAATTTATTGTTAAAAGAACCTAGAATTCTTTACCCAACCAGAGTAGGAAAAACCATTTGCCAGCATTTCAAAGACTCAGAAAGTTTACTACCCACAGACCTACTATGAAAGAATTACTAAAGGACGTAATCCAGCAAGAAGATGCGTGAAACCGGAACGAGTCTGTCAGGAACACGTGGCCATGGTGAGCAAAGAAATTAGTCAACCTTGGTGTTAAGTTGTAATAAGCTAAATAATTAAATTTTTTAAATATAAAAAAGAACCTATAAATATAATTCCATATTCTTTTCACATTGAGGGTGGGGAGGCAGGGGGAGGTGGTGTGACTCAGAAGAGATGCAGTATGGTAATGTGTTCTGCTTTGTTTAGGGGAGGAGGATTTAATTAACCTGGAGAGCTGTGTTTTCCAAACTTGGAGCAGTGACCAAAAGTACAAAACACATTATAAACCTCTATGCACATACATTCATAGACATAAGTAAAATAAAATAATACATTACTTACCTTAAAATTAATACAGTTATCCTGTGGATTTCTCTGACTTATGATAGTATTTTATGTTAAATTTCATTTCTTTATAAAATGATACGGCCTTCTAAGAATTCATGCCCCACATAGTTCGGAAAACACTACTTATAAGTGTTGCATATAGTTGATAAAATATATGTTTAAAAAGGTTTTAAAACAGTTCCTCAAATCACCAGACGTGGTTTACAAATCGCTAGTATGCAAGATAAATAGAATATACAAAATGAAATAGATTTAATCCAACAGTGTATGTCTTACAGTTTATATAACAACTTTCAAAAAGAGCTTAGAATTACTAAACAATCCTCCCTTTAATTCTAGCATTTTCTAGATTTTCAAGCTAATTCAGTAAATCAATGATATAACTCAAAAGTTATTTGCAGATATTTATTATCTCCTGTCTTGAGAACACAAAATAGTTAAGTTACATAATATTATGACTATTAGAGTTTACAGGATGGCTAAATAATAGGCTATCTTGTTAAATTTCCATAACTTGCCTCTCTACCAACAAAGAATCTCTGAAAAAGTTTAGCATATAGTATTCTAGAACCTTTAGTGGAGAACTGTAGCATTTTACTAAAGGTACACATAATATACTTGATAATAGATGCTGTGGTCACACACTGAAAACAGTCTATAGCAGTGCTAGCAAATGTATGGTACACCTGTGTCAGTGGGCTCTTTGTTTTATCACTGAAAGCGCTAAAAGATTCGCCATCACTGCCCTATAGTGTGCTGATCATTCTTTTTTAAATTCACCAGTTTTCTTTCTAAATATGATATACTGGAAGTGTATGTTAGTTTTTGACAGAACTGTTACATTTCTGTATGTTCTTCATCCTGTTAAGTCATGAATGAATGTGAGAACAGTTTGCTTGTGGTGATTTGTAATAATGAGTAACGTCTTACAGTGCTTGTGATACAGGAGGAAACGTGATCATTCCAGGCACTGTCAAAGCCCTGTGTGGCTGAAGCTCTGCAGGCAAGGGACTGTAAGGTGCATGCAGCAGTCTTGTAAGCCACGGCAAGAGGTTTGGAAGATCATAGGAGGGTTTTAAGGAGGAGGAAGAGACTTACACAGGGGTCTCTCTGGGTGCTTTTCAAGTTTTGGATTGGAATTAGCCAGGCATGGGTTTCCAAGGGAGCTTATCACCTAAGAGTGAGTACAGGAAGCAGCCATGGTAGCTTGGAACGGGTTGTCACACAGGAATTGGTGAGCAGTGGTGGATTGGAGGCACTTCTGAATTCTCAGTGTAGTGCTAGAGGCCTGAGTTGGTAGGTAGTGCGATGGTCACACATTGAGTCAGAGCATCGGGGTTTGAAATTCTGAAGGGAAATCTAAGTCAGTACTGCTGACAGTTGGAGAGGTGATCTGGGTGGTAATTATGGCCATAAATGTAGATATTGGGGTCAACAGAAATCAGGTATAATTAAGAGCCAAAAACACTGATAAAGTTTTGATTCGAAGTCACCATTATATGTGACATGCATATTCATTCAAATGAGACAACTAGAAAGCCAGGGCTTTTGCAACATGACTAACGCACCTAACAGCAGAGTGAAACCGAGAGTCACTGATACAAGTGTTCTTCTATTTGTCCCTATTTACCTCCTTTATTTCTTATTTACTTAGGCTGACTTATGACACTGGATGTTCTATAATAGCTACTATTATAAAATATGGCAAAATGATGTCATAACATCGAATAATTAAGACCTATTAGTGTGTAGGAAGTATAGAAGTTACCCGCAATTTTTCTAACGTTTCCCTCAATAAACTATACTCATTACTGTAGAATGCATTATCGTGCTAGCAGTAAAATACAACTACTACCTAATCCAATATTGCATGACCCAGAAAAAAGATCAAAACTGTCTACGTGGTCTTTAGAACATTACTCTAACGTTCCTAGCTCAGTGCAATAATTAATATACAGGTGTAGCATTAGTACCATGATGTTTGTGAGCTACAGTGAGTCACAACCACACAAGTGAACTAATCTGGAAATGAAAACTTTATACATGGACTTCTTGTCAGTTTCTGTCTGGGCCCCCACTCACCCACGCACCCAGGGAGTGAACCCAAGTCTTTCACACTCAGCTGTATCTCCAGGCTTTTTACTTTTTATTTCATAGGATTTCTTGTATAATCAAAAACTGAATCAAAATCAGTAGTAAACAATGTTCATGGGTCCTAGATTGAGCTACATGAAAACATAACTGAGTTCCTGTAGACCCTGCCCTGTTGGGTGGCTCTGGCTTTAAGCTGGATCTTACCACATGGAAAGCGAGCGGTTCCCCCCGACTGTGTTTTAGTGTCTCCACCCAGCAGCTCACCTGCCAGCTGCAGCCTCCTTCCGCTTTCCTCTGTTTGTGCTCTCAGTCTGCTCCTTCTCAAGCTCTACCTTGACTGAAAATGTAATCATGTTGGAAAAACTTACAGTGGTCTTTCAACTACTGTTCCCAGGGTTTCTATTCTACCACTCCGAATACCACAGTCACCTGTTTTTAATACAGACTTACATTAGAAAAAGTCTGTAGCAATCTTAAGTTCTTAAGTGGCTGGCATTCATGGTCCCCATCGTCCCAGCAAACCTTACTCAGCGCAGCTGTTCAGGCACAGAAGATATAACCCTGATCATAGACAACTAGCTACCCACTTGATTACTTTTGATCTACCAGGTGAGGCATCCACTAAACCTGTCATACTCACTTTACCATTCTAAAAACAATAAATAATGATTCATGGTACTATTTTAAAGACAGATGTATTATATTTGAGCCTTGCAGCTTCATGCATGTTCTGCTTCTCTGTTATTGTATAATGTAACCTTGATCACATTATGTCCCCTTGGATGCTTTATTCACTACATTCTTTGTCATCAGGAACCGGATATTTATTGATTTCAAGTACCCAATAATGTTATAAAGTATCATTCTCATCTTTGGCAACATGAGTACTTGTGCAAGTTAACCATTAACAGTGTTTAGTTTTCTAACTAACAACAATTCTCCTTCTAAAAGATCTAATTAGGTATAAAACATTCCTAACAATTCAGATTACGGTAAAGAGACTGGTTTCCCCTGGTAGCTATTTTGTTATGGTAAGTATAGATTATACATCAGCAATTATTTCTAGTGAAGTTTCATACCTTATGCTCATTTTACATGTTATTATAAAATAAACTAGATGGACCATCTTTTCCTATAGGAAAAAAACCTGGAAGATAATTTGCAGAATCTGGCTACAGAATTAGCTCCAATTTACAAGCAGTATGCTCCCGTTGCTTATCAAAACCAGGTATGTTTTGCGACCTTTTATAATGCTTTTCAGCATGGTTCAAATTTCGATATAGAGTGGGATGTGTGGAGATGCACACCTATAATCCCAGCACTCAGGAGACTGAGACAGGAGGAGTACCGCAAGTCTGAGGCCAGCATGGACTACAGAGCAAGTCTGTACCAAAATTTTACAAAAAACAAAAATGTTTTCCTATCCTTTTAAAGTCCTCATTAATAGAAAACTTTTCAAATTTGAACTTTAATGTATAATTTTTGTTGAATAGCTTTTAAAATGATGTAGTGTTGTTAAGTATGTCATCTTGTTAGAGGAGTTGGATCAAAATACCAGGATGGCAGAATTATGTTTGTTTTTACTTTTGAGGATGGTAAGGATTGCATCCAGGGCCCCACACGTGAGAAGAATCCTTAGAATGTGAGAAATTAGGGGCTGGGGATTTAGCTCAGCGGCATAAGCACCTGCCTTGCTAGCAGGCAGTTGTGAGTTTGATCCCTGGTACTGATAAAAACGAAAAAGACCAAAAAAAAAAAAAAAAAAGAATGTGAGAAATTATTTAGAAGCTATACATAAATTGAAAACAAGTATAATAAATTAAAGGTATCTATATAGTGCTTAATATTAGACTCAGAGCTACACATTTTCTTTAAACATCTTTATTTTATTTGGGTTCTTGTGAATAGCATGATATCTATTAAATTCCAGCCTTTTTTTTTTTTTTTTTCTTTTTTCTTTTTGTAATTCTTCAGTTAATAAGATAGAGGCTACTGTGTTTCCCAAACAGACCTCAAACTCCTGGGCTCAGGGCATCCTCCTGCCTCAGCCTTCCAAACTGCTGAGACTATAGGGCGTGTCACTGAACACAGCTCCAGCTTTTCCTTTTCAAAAGACATATGGGAAGAACAGGGATTTAGTTCAGTGACGTAAGTTCCTGCCTTGCAAACGCACGATCGTGAGCTCAATCCCTGGTACCAAAAAGTAATTAAAATAAAAGACATATGGGCTGGGGATGTCGTGCAGTGATAGAGTGCTGGTCTGGCATTTACATTCCCTAGGTTTCAGTCCCAGCCCTAGAAAAACAATGTATGTATTTCAGCTTTGCATTGATGCTAAAAGCTCTGTATGTAATTTATGTCCTTTTATAGGTTTTCTGTCCCTTAAAAGTGTGTGCTATCCTTCCTTTCTTATAGGTGGAATATGAACATGTTGCCCGAGAATGCCGACTTGGTCGCAAGGAAGGGCGTCCATTCTCGGGGGTCACTGCCTGCCTGGACTTCTGTGCGCATCCACACCGCGACATCCACAACATGAACAATGGGAGCACTGTGGTAGGCACACGGGGGCTGCATGTCAGGTAGTTCTGTTATTGCATGCTTGGGCTGCAGCCCTTCCCTGTGATTGCTGTGGTGACAAACCTTATTTACAGTGTGCTTAGGTGTCACACAGGTGCTGTTTATTAGAATTACCAGTGTCTTTCATTCATCCTTTTGGTTTGGTTTGTTTGCTATAAAACAAGCCTCACTTTGTTGCTATGTTTAAATCATATTTTTAATTATGGTATTTTGCTGGGTGAAAGGAGTACAGGATTATTTGAAACACAACTCTGTGTTGTCAAACTGTGATGGTGCTCACCTGTCATGCCACCACTTGGGAGGCTGAGGCAGGAGGATCACATACTCTTAACTAAGTTAATTTTCCTGTTTTTTTGTTTTGTTTTGTTTTTTCTTGGTACCAGCAATTGAACTCAGGACCTTGCACTCGCACTTACCAGGCAGGTGCTTATGCTGCTGTGCTAAAACCCCTGGCCCTAATTTTCGTTTTTGCCATGTGTACTTCAGGGTTTTTGTGACCAACACTGCTGTGTTTGATTTGATCTGGTTTGATTTTTTTGAGGCAGCATCCTTGTAGTCCAGGCTGGTTCTTAACTTCCTTCATAGCCTCAACCTCAGGACCTTGCTCCTGCCTCAGCTGGCTGACCCTGAGCGCATAGGCCTGCACCACTGTACCCAGCAGTGGTTCTTCCCCCGGTCTGTTAATATTCCAGAGTACCAGCATTGTTTGCCACCAGGTTATGTGTATCACAATCACTTGAAATGGGTCAAAACCTTTTTGTTTTTGTTTTGTAGTGTTGTGTTTTTGCTCATGCTCGGCACTGAACCCAGGGCCTTCAACTCATCAGGCAGTCCATTTGAGCCACCCCCAGTGCCTGGACATACCAGAGACACTTAGATTAGGTAGAAGGTAGAAGACCCCGCAGAAGTCATGCAGCAGGCTTTCTCAGAGAAATGAGTGTGCTTGCAGTAAACATGTCAACCTGTGGACTTTCTACTTTTTCATTCATCCTTTTGGTTTGGTTTGTTAGCAGGGGAGGATGGAGTATGAAACATCAAGCCCTGGGGTGCTTGAACAATGAACTATATCCCTAGCCCTTTTGTTTTATTTTTTTTGGGACAGGGTCTCATTTCATGGTCTAGGCTGATCTCAAACTCAAATGATCCTCTTGCCTCATTCTTCTAAGTGCTGGGAATATAGGCATGTGTCACCATGTCCAGCGATTCATTTTTTATTTTTGAGCCAAGGTCTCACTAAATTACCTGTGCTAGATTTAGGCCTCAGCTTTTCTAAGTGCTGAGGTTACAGGTCCACACTACCTCACCTGGCTCATATCACCTTGAGAAACAGAAAATTCACCTTTATTTTTGACTGAATCACTTTGTTTGGTTTATACAATAATTTTGAAACATTAAGTCTTAGCTCTAGGTTGTTACAGTTGTCTTGGTTACATTTTTCTTATTGCTGTGACAAAATATTTCACACCCAAAATTAGAGAAGGAAAGGTTTACTTAGCTCACATTTTGTAGAGGTTTCAGTCTGTAATCATCTGGCTCCAAGGCAAGGTAGCATGTGCACAGGAGCAACATTTCAATGCTCAGGAAAACAGCAATAGAAAAGACAGGGGCTGGGGCTGGGGATTTAGCTCAGCGGCATAAGCGCCTGCCTTGCAAGCAGGCAGTCGTGAGTTCGATCCCCGGTACCGGTAAAAACGAAAAAGACAAAAAAAAAAAAAAAAAGAAAAGACAGGGGCAGAGCAAGCCTGTTTTCCTCACTTATATTGTAAGTCAGCTACATTCCTTGGGAGGGTGTCCCACTCATACCATCTGGCTGCCCGCCTCTTACAGATACTGAGGATGTTACAAAGGGCCCTGGACCCCTGCTAAGTCACTTACTTAAACTTCAGACTGACTCTCTCTCTCTCTCTCTCTCTCTCTCTCTCTCTCTCTCTCTCTCTCGCTCTCGCTCTCTCTCTCTCTCTCTCTCTCCTCTCTTCTTTCCTCTTTCCTCTCTCCTCTCTCACATTTTGACCTCAAATTGATACAATGTACAATATCCTTAATGGCTGGCTCTCTATAGTCCTCAATGTAAATAATCTTTGAGACCTTTTCTTTTTTCCTTTGTTAAGACAGTGTCACTATGTAGCCAAGGCTGGCCTCAAACTGACAGTGATGTGCTTGCCTCAGCTTCTCAAGTACATGGGTTTATAAACAAATGCCACTATGCAGTGCAAGCCCAGTGTAATCCAAGTGATGAAGTTATATAAATCCATGGTGAGCCCTCCATGGCAGCGCTCACATATCATCTCTGCCCTCAGGAGGCTGAGCCAAGAAGATTGCTGTGAGTTGGAGACCAGCCTGGGCTATACAGTGCTATGAGACTGTCTCAAAAACAAACAAACAAATAAACCAAACAGATGGTGGCACACACCTGTAATCTCATCATGGCAGAAGGATCCTATAAGTTCAAGGCCAGTTTGCACTAGCTAGCAAGACACTGCCTCTAGAAAATACCAAATTATAATAACAAAAATTCACCCTGGTGAATCCCCACCATCATCATCACTCCCCCAATTATTATTATTATTATTATTATTATTATTATTATTATTATTAAATGCAAGATCTCCCTCTGGGACTATAGGTTCACGCCACCATGCCCAGCTCATCATCAAACTTTGGTCAGGACATTTTCTACAAGCTGCTTGGCGGTCAGGCAGAATTAGGATCAGAGTAAAACCAAGTTTTAGTCGCTCTAAATTTTCTTTTTCACCAACTTCTCAGCAGTGTTTTATGTATTTTGCTCATTGCTAGGTTTTGTTAATGAACTTTTTTAGTAGTACGTGTATACCTTGCTAAATGATTGCATTTATTGTGGGGGAGTTGGTGCATGTGCACACCTCTTAATTTGTTGTTTTTGTCGTTGTCCCCTTCCCCTCCTGTCTTTCACTCCAACTCTTGGTCCCTTTCTCATCAGCAAAAACTGTAGTTCCATTTTTATCCCCTTAAGTTCTCTTCCCTAACCCTAACCCTCCCCATTGCCTCCAGATTTTCTCTTTGTCTTTTTTTCTTTTTATGGGTACCGGAGATCGAACTCACGAACACCTGCTTTCAAGGCAGGCGCTTGTGCTGCTGAGCTAACTCCCCAGCCCCCAGATTTTCTTACCTTGAAATTCTACCTAAATCTCTCCTTTCACTCTCTCTGTTTCCTAATCTTCCTGATTATCCTTATATCCTCCCCCTATCATCCCCTCTTTAGCCTCCCATGGACAAGTAAGCCAGCCTAAGTAAACTGGGCGAGCTAGGGGTGGTTGGATGCCTATAACACCATCACTTTTGGAGGCTGAGATGGCAGGATCACAAATTTGAGCCCAATTTGAGAAATGTAACAACTTAGCGAGACCCAGTCTCAAAAACTAAAAAGGCTGTAGGTCAGTGTGAAGCCCCTGGTTTCAATGCCCTGTACTGAAAATCAGTCAAGCAATTCAGGCATTCTGGTATGTGCTTATACTGACAGCTACACTGGAAGTTCAGGAAAGACCATCGTTTGATCCCAGAAATTTCAAATCCACATGGACAACATAATGAGACCTTGTCTCAAAAACAAACAAAAAACCCAGGTGTGGAGGTGTAGGCTTGTTGTAGACCCTGCACTTTGAAGGCCAAGGCAAAAAGATCACTGTGTGTTCAATGCCGGCCTGAACTACATAGCAAGGCCCTATCTCAAAATAGTAATAATAATTATTATTATTAATTCATTAACAGCCTTGTTGAACATGTAATCAACGAAACATGTGTCAACAAGTAAACATGTATCAACGAAAGATTTCTGATTCCAAACATTTTTATACTATTACCAGTTTAGCCTGTATGGCTGTTCTCCCATACTAGCTTATAAATGCTACTATAAATATTAAGAAAGTACTGTGAGTTTTAAGCCTATACCTACTTTTGCTTTACCAGCTGTCCTAGTTACTTTTCTCATTGCTGTGAAAAACTACATTTAAAAAGAACAGTTTATATCAGTTCACTGTTTGTAGATGTTTCAGTCCATAGTCAGCTGGCTCCAAGGCAAAGCCCATGGCAGAGGGGCTTTCCAATGGAAAAACAACCCATGACAGGACAGATAGAAAACAGGCAGCATGGGGGCTGGGGATTCAGCCCAGCGGCATAAGCGCCTGCCTTGCAAGCACACCGTCGTGAATTCGATCCCTGGTACATATAAAAACAAAAAAGACAAAAAAAAAAAAAAAAGAAGAAGAAGTAATAGAAAACAGGCAGCTGGGGCTGGGGATTTAGCTCAGCGGCATAAGCACCTGCCTTGCAAGCAGGCAGTCGTGAGTTCGATCCCTGGTACCAATTAAAAGGAAAAGGACCAAAAAAAAAAAAAACAGGCAGCGCGAAGAGGCTGCCTCCCTTCTTTTCCCTGTAACCTACCAAGGGCACAAGCCTAATGGCTGGTGACACCCATACCCAGCACTATATGCTGAACCACACCCATAATCCAGTATTGTCAAAGCCCCTAAATAGGACCACTAAATAGATACAAGCCATTCCACCATCTGTATGCTTTGAGTTCATTGGGAAACCCAGCACACTTTGAAAATCATATATTCCTGTTTCATTTATTTCCAGTCTTTCTTAGCTTAGAATAAGCTCTTATCTCTAGGGAGAATGTTTTAATGAAAAATAATGAAATCATTTCTGATGGATTTGTAGTGATCTTTGAAAAGTAATTATAACTAAAATATTAGTTGGTACAGCAGAATATTAATATTAGGTTGCAAAGGTCAGGAAGTCTCTATGTGATGTTCATTCCCATTTATCTACAGTGTGTGAGTATATCCTTGAGAGTTAGAGGATATCAAGGCATGGAGGTACACACCTGTAGTTCTAGAACTTGGGAAGCTGAGGGAGGAGGACTACCATGAGTTTGAGGCCAGGGTGAGCTACATAGTAAGTTCAGGACCAGCCTGAACTACATAGTGAGACCTTGTCTCAAAACAACACCAAGTAAAAGAAGTAAGAACTGTTAACTGATTGGTAAAATATGATCTACATGCAGAGGCCTGGTTCCATCTTCAGTACCCCTTAAAATGTAGAACAACAATCAGGGAAGAGGTAGGGTGCACTGAGGGGAACGTTTTTTAAATGTTTACCTGTAGTGGTTATACTTGTTGAGCAGAGTTGGTATGTGTACATAACAGGTTAATTCTTTGTAAGGATTCCCTTCCCACCCCAAGAACACATTTTAAGTGAATACATACATCTATAAGATTGATACATTTATATATGGTATTCCTCACTGGATAGAAGGGAAAAATATTGGCTCAGAAAGAAAATAAAAATGGCCCAGGCTGGGCATCTTGTGACAAACATCTTTTGTGCCAATGTTCTGGGAAGCTGAGGTAAGAGGATGAAAAGTTGCAGCCCACTTGGGCAATTTAGCATCCTCGCATGGCTCTCTGAAAATGCACCAAGGGCTGAGATGGTGCTCAGTGTGCAGGGCCCAGGTGCGGGGCCTGCTGCTGCCAGGAGGGAAGACTGCATCCAGGACCTGTGCTCCCACCTGCCCCTCTCCTCCCTGCAGGTCTGTACTCTGACCCGGGAAGACAACCGCTCCCTGGGTGTTGTCCCTGAGGATGAGCAGCTCCATGTCCTCCCACTGTACAAACTCTCTGACACTGATGAGTTTGGCTCCAAGGAAGGCATGGAAGCCAAGATCCGCTCGGGGGCCGTGCAGGTCCTTCAGCCCACACGCAGGAAGAGGACACGTTTCACGCAGCCGGTACCTCGCTGTGGCAAGAAACGGGTGGCAATGATGACTGAGGTCCTGGAGCGTAAGATCAGGGCAGTAGAGAAGAAGCAGAGTCCTCGGGTCAAGCGGAAGAACAACTCTGCCGTGGCCAATAATGGGAAGGCGACATCACTACCCAGCCCAGGTGAGCCCGGGACCTGCCTGCCTGCTCTGTGGCCTTGTGTGGGTAAAGGGGTTGGACTTCCCCTGAATCTGCTGTTCTCTCTCATGTGTCTTTGAGATGAACTAATATGAGAGAAGATAGTAGTCTAGTCACTAGTTACTCTTTTATTGTTTGTTTGAGACAAGGTTTTATTACATATTCCAAACTGTCTGTAAACTCAAAATATAGCCCACGCTGTCCTCAAACTTGTGGCGATCTTCCTGCCTCAGCCTCCAACTACTGGGCTTATAAGTGTGCTCAGCCACACCCAACCAACTAGAATCTCAAAGTTTTATTTATTTATTTACTGGTACCAGGAATTGAACTCATGACCTCGTGCTTGTCAGGCAAGTGCTGTGCTGCTCAGCTATATCCCTAGTTCTTGGTTCTTTTTAAAATCATATTCTTACCATTGTGCCTGTGAATTCTCTGTGTATTTTCAAGCCCCACATACTCTTCTTGGCAAAGATGAAATTATGGAAGCCTGAGGCATCCATTTGAGTCATGCAGGGCCCGTGAGTGGTCCTGGGGGCTACGGGCTGGGGCTACATCTACTTGTGTCTATCATAGGAGGTCGGCTGCAAATGTGGGCATTTGAATGAGGTCTTGGGTGAATCAAGGATGAGCAGCTCCATGTCCTCCCACTGTACAAACTCTCTGACACTGATGAGTTTGGCTCCAAGGAAGGCATGGAAGCCAAGATCCGCTCGGGGGCCGTGCAGGTCCTTCAGCCCACACGCAGGAAGAGGACACGTTTCACACAGCTGGTTGGCAGTGGATCACTGGAGAAGCAGTGTCCCAGTACAGGGAAGAAGCCAGCGGTAGGTCTAGGCCCAGAGTCTACCTGTGTGCTAGAGGTTGGCAGAAACAGAAGTAGCAGGGGAGGAGGTCAGAAAAATGAGCTGAGGCCGAGCAAGGCGCCCGGGTTTGGGGGACCAGCCTCCCTTGTGAGCTACAGGAGAACAGGTCACAGGAAGCCTTGATCAGGCTCCAGCATAAACCTCGTTACTGGCTTGAAACCAGAATGAATTGGGCCAGATGATACAACTTTGAGGAACTTGTAAAAAGCTCCTCCTAATAACAGGGAGAGGATGGAGCTAGAGCCACAGTGGCTAAGGAATGAGAGCATGAGAAATATCTGGATCAGACATGCTTGTGGTTGATACAGGGTTTCACTATGTAGCCCAGGCTGGCCTTCGACTCAAGCAACCCTCCTGCCTTTGCTGAGTAGTGGGACTGTAGGCTTGTAATTACAAAGTATGTTTTGAAGAGAACTTCAGTAGTATTCCTGATATATTACACATGGAGTTAGCTAGATGTGGTGGTGTATACCTGTAATCCCAGGACTCACAAGACTGAGGCAGGAGGATCTCTAATTTTGAGACATCCTGGGTCACATAGTCAATTCAACCTGGAAGGATGCAGGAACCTTCAACCAGTGAGGAGAGATGAGCAGGTCTGGAGAGTTAGATGGGGAGGGGAGAGCTCAAGTTTTGACATGACTAGTGGAGTTGTGAGATGTTGAAACATATAACCTAGAGACCAGCAAGCACTGAGACTCAAGTTACAGCAAGGAAACTAAAAGAGGTACAGAAGAAATCTAAGGAAAAACCCTGAGAACTGTGTATTTTTAGGTTTCGGGAATGAGGAGGCACTAGCAGGAGAGACTTGGAAAGTCTGTTCAGGCAGGGGTGAAACCAGGTTCTCCTGTTTCAGGAAGGAGACAAATCATCAGTGTTACTCCTAGGAAAGTGATTCAGAAGATAGGTGCCACTGTCACATTTGGAGGCTGCTGGTGGCCCTGCAAAATTCAGGGCAGTGGTGAACTGCAGAATAAATGAAGTGAATTTCAGTGGAAAAGGAAGGATGAGAGGAATTCTTTGGTAACAATAAAAGGGACCAATGGAATGCAGTAAAGATGATAGAGTTGAGACCTTTTTAATGGACAACTTTTGGAAATACACAAAGTAGAAATTGTATAACGAGCCCCATTTCCCTCTCCACAGCCCAGTTTTTCAATACAAAATCATTCTCCTTTAATCTCATTCAGGCCTCACCCCTTAGAGATCTGATATTGTCACTGAAATGAGAAATCTTTTTTAACTGTGGTACTCATAACAACACAAGTACAGAAGCCTCCTCCTGAGACCATGCACCAGGAGGCTAATTACTCCCTGGGAAGGGTGGCACTGGGCTCTGGAGAGGGCCTGCCTAGTCCATTTTATGGTTCAGGAAACATTCATAATCTTTTCTGTAGTCTTAATTTCACTGCAGTTAGCATTCTTGTCATTCTTTTGTTCAGTGGTTTTCTTTTAAAAAGCAAGATTGTCCTTATTAATAATTTGGTACAAAGAGTCAAAATAAATGCTTAAGGCAGCATGTTGCTGTGTGCTTATTGTCCAAGTACGTCAGAAGGCTGAGGCAGGACAATTGCAATTTCGAGCGTAGCCTGGGCAAGTTACTTAGAGAGACCCTATCTCAGATGAAAACTTGAACAAAAACAAACAAAAGACTGTATGTATAGCTTGGTACAGAGGGTTCAATCCCTACCACCAAAAGAAAAAACTTAATTATGTGTCTTTTGTTAGTTTTTAAAACACCAGTTGCTTTTCAAGTATCTTCCATTGTAATCAGATTGGAAAATGTAGAATTGTATCATTTTGGTTTTATGAGTGTTTGAACATAGGTTATTTGTCAGTGCATATTGATTGGGATTTCACACAATACTATAAAGTATTTATAGTATACTATAATACTATAAAGTATACCACAATACTATAAAGTATTTAAAAATATTCAGATCTTCCTCTCTTTCATTTATAGAAACCTCTCAAATTGGCAGTCCTGGTTGTTTTCAATAGCTTTCTTAGCTTCTCTTATAAGATCTTCCAGGTTTATATAAAACTGCCCCATATCGAAATCCAGCTATTTCCATAAGGAGTGCACGGGGACCCCGGTAATGAATTTATACTGATAGTGCCTCCTGGAATCTCAAGGAGGGCTGGGTTGTGGCCAAGTGGTAGATCACACACATGCCCAAGGCCTTGGGTTCAGTTCCCAGAACCACCACCTCAAACCAGTCACAGAGTATTCCTTGGTTTCCTTTATCTCCATATCTGAAACATAAGTTATTTCTTTTGTTTTTTATAAGAATAAATAATCAAATGACAGACATTATATAATGCTAAAGAAGATTCCAAAGGAAAAAAAAGATTCAGAAGAGAAATACTAAAGGCAAGATACTTACCATTCCCTTCTTAGTGGTAACTGTTCTTTACTAATGCTTTTACTGCTATAACTCATATCCAGTCCTATGACGCTTAAAACGAGTAATCAGATCATTTTAATGCTGTGTGCTTCTAGTATTCCTTGATATTAGTGGCCTTATGCACAGTATTTTACCAATGGTCTCCCATCCTTTTGCAGTTTGATGTATAAAAGAAAATTTTGTACATCCACTTCAAAAAACTCATTACTTTTAATGTTTTCCCCTTAGCCAGGCATGGTGGCTCACACCTGTAATCCCAGCACTCAGCAGACTGAGGCAGGAGGATCACCACAAGTTCGAAGTCAGCATGGGCTACATAGTGAGACCCTTTGTCAAAATAATTCTTTCTTCCAGTTATTCACATGTTGGCTGTTTAACTTCAATAATGATGCATACATCACTACTAGCTGCATATGTTTCCTTGTGTAGTGCTGCGTGTGTGTGTGTGTGTGTGTGTGTGTGTGTGTGTGTGTGTGTGTGTTACTAGGGATTGAACCCTGAGGCTTTGCACTGAACTATACCCCCTACCATGTTTGTTTTTATCTTGAGACAGGGTGTTACTAAATTACCCACGCTGCGCTCCAAGGTTTTAATCTTCCAGCCTCAGCCTCCCAGAATGCTGGGATTTCAGGCATGTGTCCCAATACCTGGTAATACTATTTTGTTTATGTTTTTGTTTTTTTGTTTTTTTTAAAGAAAAGTTCTGGCTATACAGTTGAGGCTGGCTTTGAATTCAGTGTAGCTCAGGCCAGCCTCCAACTTGGCAGCAATCCTCCTGTCCCAGCCTCCTGAATGCTGCGATCACAGGCATGCACTGCCATGCCTGGTAACGTTTATGAATCTCTTTAGAAATGAAAGCCATCTTGTCCCCTTGTTGTGTCATTTGAGCTGCATCTGTGGCAGCTCTTAAGCTGGTTAAATTTTATTGCTATGTAACTAATTATTTCAAAACATGATTGTTTTACTCTTTTTTCCCCTTGGTCCTAAAATTCATGGCTTTTCGATTTAAAAAAAAAAATAGAACTTCAAAACAAATAGAATGTCTTCAAGAAATATGCTTCCATTTGATTTGAGGCCCATGGTAATCAGGTAGTACCTAAAAGGCACTGCAACATTACTTTTGGTAGTTAATTATTGTTCTGTGTCACTGTAATAATCCCTGCATAGTTATTCCAGTGTTACTTTATAACCAGTTAGGACATTTTTAATATTTTAAACAGTATTTATCCTTTTGGCTAAATCTTTGCATTTACTTCTAATTGCTTCCTAAAGCAAGAACTTACGGGAAATTGCTGCGTGAGAAAGTATATCAAAGCTGAGGGTGTAGCTCAGTGGCAGAGCTCTGGCCTGACATACTCCAGTCCCTGGTTTCAGTCCCCAGCCCTGGGGAGAAGAATTTTAAAATCCTGTACTAAAAAGGCAATTCCCAGCCGGGCATGATGGTTCACCAACACCTGGAAGGCTGCGGCAGGAGAATCACTGCAAGTTCAAGGCCAGGCTGAACCGCATAGTGAGATTGTATCACAAAAAAAGAAAGAAAGATAATTACCAAAATAGTTTGTTCATTTTCACTGTTGGGTCCTTTTCTCTGTTTAGTGAGTAATAGTAGACAGTACAGCCTGGAATAAAAAGTGAAACTAAACCCCATTTTATCTTCAAAGGTTCAGACAACACTAAAAGCTATTCATCGGCCCCATCCATCCCTCACCCCGTCAAAGAGGCAAACCTGTCTCCAGCCTTCTGTCCCCCGGCCGCACCTGCAGTTAGGTGCCATAAGCTAGGCGCGCTGGGCTCCCCCGAGCGGAGCGGCGCCGCCCCCTGCACTGCGCCACCCGCACCAGAGGAGGCTGCTGTGCTCCCCGCCCCGTCCCCACCCGCGCCCGAGCCCCCGGCCCTGCCCGAGCCTGCCCCCGGCTCCGCCGAGCAGCGGGGCCCACAGCCCCCTCCCCTCCCCTCGCCCGGCGGCCAGCCGGTGCCCTGCTTCGCCGAGGAGGATGAGCCGCACTGGGACGTGGACGAGCCGCTGTCCGACGAGGCGCTGTCCGACGAGCTGCTGTCCCCCGCCGCCGAGAAGGGTCTGCCACACATGGACGAGTACTGGTCGGACAACGAGCACGTCTTCCTGGACGATAGCGTGGGCGGAGTGGCCATCGCACCCACGCACGGCTCGGTGCTGATCGAGTGCGCGCGGCGGGAGCTGCACGCCACCACCCCGGTGGCCAACCCCAACCGCAACCACCCCACGCGCCTCTCGCTCGTCCTGTACCAGCATAAGAACCTGAATAAGCCCCAGCACGGTTTCGAGCTCAACAAGATCAAGTTTGAAGCCAAAGAAGCCAAGAATAAGAAAACAAAGGCCTCTGAGCAGAAAGATCGGTCAGCTGAGGAGGCCGCTGCCCTATTCCCTGAAGTAAATGAATTGAACCAAATCCCTTCTCATAAAGCATTAACGTTAACCCATGACAACGTTGTCACCGTGTCCCCTTATGCTCTCACACACGTCGCAGGGCCCTATAACCACTGGGTCTGAAGGCTTCTGCCCCTTCTCAATGCCTTTGCTAGTGCAGTGTATTTTTTCAAGGTGCTGTTCGAAGAAAGTCATGTTGTCGTTTACTATATCTTCATCTCACCCATTTCAAATTTGAGGTTAAAAAAATTTTAAATAGGGTGGGTACTTAACTGTGACTATATTTTGACAATTGGTTGAAGGTGCACATTTTAAGCAAAAATAAAACTTTTATAGTTTTAAATACATCAAGAGATGTTTTGGTTAGGCATTAACCTTGATAGAATCACTCAGTCTGGTGCTTTAAATTAAGTCTGTTTACTATGAAACAAGAGTCATTTTTAGAGGAATTTAACAGGTTCATGTTCTCTGATGTAAAATCAAGACACAGTATTAACTCTACACAGCTCCTGGTGCTTAACCACATTGACACAGTTAAAAATAAGCTGAATTATTATTTCATGGTGCCACTGTTCCAACATCTTCCGATCATTGCTAGAAAATTGGCATATTCCTTTGAACCTTTGAAATAAACCAATGAAATGCTCTCTTAAAATACTTCCTCCTGTAGAAAATAATTCATTTTTGTTAGTAATGGTTGGAGGCTGTCCATAAAGTGTAAATAGATATTTTAAAAGCACTTTCTATTTTTAAAAGTAACTTGAAATAGTATAGTATAAGAATCCTATTGTCTATTGTTTGTGCATATTTGCATACAAGAGAGATCATTTATTTCTTGCTGTGTAGAGTTCCATCTTGTTAACTGCAGTATGTAGTCGAATCATGTATGTGGTTTATGTATGTCCTTTCACATTACATACTAGCTACTTATGTAAAATAGTTAATCTCTAAAATTGGAATTAGAAAGACACATTATCACCAATATTGATTTTTTTTCTTTGTTTGGGTATTGATTTTTTGTTTGTTCTTAGAACTAAAAAAGTGTGGTCAACAATAGCCTCATTTCTTTTACCCAGTTTCATCAATATAAACCATGAAAAATGTTTCCAAGAGGAAAAGAGACAAAATGGGATTCAGAAGAGTCAAATGCTTCTAATGTTTCAAGGTGATAAAACCCCCAAAAAGTTAGGTTTTAGCCAGAATTCTACCCATCCCAAATTGCCTTGATTGTTCTGAGATCCAATCAAATGAAGAGTAAAAGAAAGCATAATGTAGAAATCTTTTGAAAACAAGTTTTCCATTATCGTCATATCTCTCTATTTCTTAAATAGTTGAAATGCTATTATAAACATTTGTCCACCTAGAACTAATACTCATTAATCTTAGTATATTGGATTTGGAGAAATGCTGACTCATCTTGCCTACATTGTAGGTAACAAGAAAAATGGTCCTATCATGCATTTTTAGATTCCCATTTTTTCTCCATTTTATTGACTTGTGTTTATAGCAACACAAAAAGGATTACCCAAACAAAATATTTAAACAAGAACCTTCGATGAAATACTTGATTCTGTTAAAATGCAGAGGTGCTACAGCATTCAAAGTGTTAAGATTCTTTGGGAGTACAGAAACCTAAATGGTGCTTCTCCCTTGGAAATGCCATAGGAAGCCACAATTGCTAACACTCATCATTGTGGTGCAAATGCAAAGCTCTCTAAAGAAAAACTCATTGTAACTTATTAAAATAATATATATGGTGCAAAGTATCAGTTTAAAGCTTTTGACTTATCCAAGTAAAGGAATATGAAGGGATTGTAAATAACTGTATGTCCAGTGATAGACCATCTTGTACAAGTAGATTTCTGCTCATTGAATATGTAAAATAGGGTAATTCGTTGATGTGTTTTAGTGTTTTGTGTGCCTTAGAGTTCCGTTTTAAAACATGTATTTTTTTGAGCCTAAGGTTTCTTATACATATGAGTATATAAGTGATTGTTTATTGCTTCAGCTGCTTCAATAAGATATTTACTAGTATTAGATCAAGAAAACACCTTGTATAATTAGATTATAGGCCTTAGCTTCCACTGAATTGTTTCCTCACTAGAATTAATGGATATAACCTTACGGCCCTTTATCCATCTATCCACTCCTCCAATGCACACTTACTAAATGCCTGCAAAATTTAAGTATCACTTTTGTTTTCTTTGGATCACCACCTGTTACATATTAAAAAATTATTCAATAACCTAAAATATAAACACCAATGTTGATAAACGGGACTATTGACTTTTGTGAAGCTAGCTGCAGTTTACCAAAACTAGTCCATGAAAAAACATCTGCTTTCAACTAATATGTTTCTATTCCATTGTTCTTAACACCATGAGTGGGGTGCCTGCCTCCACAGTAAGCCCACTGGGAACCACACTCTATTCCTAGGCTTTAGGACTCTTTCTGAATTTTAACAATTTACCATCTCCTTCTCTCCCCTGTGACTTTGACAAAGCTTATACTTCTTCAATGTCCTCAGCATTATGATTGTATGCTGTGACTATGCATACTCTTCCTCATGAAGCACGGAAATAAATTTATTTGAAATTACATTTTCACTCATGAAATTGGTTATCCAGCCTTATTTCTTGACCTCTATTATATTTTACTATTGTAAATCAACTTTTTTTCTTTTACCTCTTGCATAGCACTCAAAAATAGTTTCCACCTTGATTGATAGTGTAATCATGACCTCCCAGTTCGCCCAGCCAATTCACGTATATGACACAATCACCAGCTATAATATATGACAGAGTAACTGATGCCTAATATATATAAAGTATTACCCTGCCCCTCAAAATTCTGTTTTTAGGGGTCTGGGACATATAGCTCAGCAGCACAGGTGTCTGGCAAGTGCAAGGTCCTGAGTTTGGTTCCCGGTACCTCTTCCCCACACACATGAAATCCATTTTTAATGTCTACAGGTTTATCTGGATTGTTGTTGTCCCCCCTCCCCCTTGCTTATTAGCCTCACGTCAAGTTCTTTTTTTGGGGGGGGGGGTCTTTTTCATTTTTATCAGTACCGGGGATCGAACTCACGACTGCCTGCTTGCAAAGCAGACGCTTATGCCGCTGAGCTAAACCCCCAGCCCCAAGTTCTTACACAAAGTACCAAATAGACCATGTTTTTAACCTAATTGGAAAGTGAGGCTGATACTGGCAGGTAAATTTTTGCAACATAAGTACATCTTAAGTAATTTTCCAACATCTTTATTACTCTGCATGTGGATAAAATGATTTCATTCACTAAAAATAGAACTTCACTAGCTGAGCTCCATAAGCAATTTATTCAGACATAACCCCAATACATACTTAATTGAATGCATACCCTTGTGTAAATGAGCTCCTGACTCAAGTACTATAAAGTAACCTACTTTCTGACATCATTACTCCAGTGGATTCCTACTGGTTATCCTTTCACGGTAGCATGTATGAAAATAACCCCAGTCTTTTTTTAAAGCAAAATTTATATTGATATGTTTTATCTGGGACAAGTTTATGACATTATTGCATGACAGTATTCATCGGTGGTAGGCATGGCAATTTCTTTGACAGTGCCACCTCAATGGGTAGGTGTTGAATATAGTTACCTTCAATTTCACACCTTAGTGCATGGAAATTATTGTTTTGTGTCAGTTTAATACAACTGCGAGTTTTCATCCTGTAGAACTGATGGCAAGGAAACTATGAAATAAAGTAATGTGGTAGTGGCCTCTCACAACAACTAAGTCACCTTAGCAGTCACAATTCAATCACAGACACCCATACAGCAGATGTCAGTGTCAGTTTGTAATTAGAATCTAAACAGGTGAGGGCCTCTTTATGGTTAAGAACTTTATAAAACAAACTTGATTTTCTTTCCCAGAGGGTATTTTATCACTGGGAAATAGCCTTATTTTGGTACAAAAATAAAATAGCTTTTTCGTTTCACTCCCTGAGAGGTTCAGAGAAAAAACAAATTAACAATGAAATTGGGTCAAGATTCCTTTGCCTGATTTATTGGGCTTTGTGTGGGACATTGGAAGTTTTTTCACCTCAGAGGTTGTCCTGTTAGCTCATTCTGCAAAGTGTCGCTGTGGTCTTCTTTCCCATTTCAATGAACAAGTAGCAAATTCTTCTGCACTAGAGCCTTTCAGCCCCCTTGGAGTCTAGTTAGAAAAGATTAGATGATTGAGCTGGGCATGGTGACAACATGTCTACAATCCTAGCTAAGGAAACAAGCAGGATGATCACAAGTTTGTTGCTAGTCTAAGCAATTTAGGAACACCCTGTCTCAAAAATAGGAAACTCTATCTAGGTAGTAGAGCTCTTGAGTGGCAAGCACATGGTCCTGGGTTTGATACCCAGTACCACAAATAGGAAAGGAAAATGATGTCACCCATAGCTCAGGAAAGCAATTGAAAATCAGTCATCGTGTCCTTTATCAGAATCTGTACTTTCTTAACACATTAAGGCTCAGGGGCCTATTTTATTTGTGTGTGTTAAACAGAAACAGTTCTATTAATTTCTGGGGTGATACAGCTAGGGTTTATGTGTGACATTACTATTTTTGTCCACTTGGAACTCTGCACTCTAATTTTCTGCCTTTCAGTTTCTGGATGATAATGTTGGTTTTTTGGTCATTGGTTTGTTTATTTTGAAGCTAATCTTGAATTCTTCCTGGATTCAAACAGTCCTCCTGCCTCAGCCTCCCACATAGTGGCAGTATGAGACACAATCTACCTTGTTTTGTTTTGGATATTAAAATACCACTGTTCACTGAAAAGACAGATATTTTATTCCTTCAAATAACCAAAAGGTGTTCCTTACTTTAATATTCTTTTCAGTATTCTAGTTCACTTTGGTATAATTTCAAATTTCTGACTTTGATTCTAGCATTATCATTTCATTGTTTCCTAGATTGTCTTTCCATTCCTATTATAATATCGATGATTCTACTGTGACCATAAACTTTCTTCTTTGTTCAGCCATAACTATGCCCAGTCCAGCACAGCTTACATACCAATGTGAGTTTGGTTCACTCACATTGAACCAAAACCTTCAAAGTAGGAATGCTATAAGATGTAAATCTGTTTGTGGATTTCACCTAATTCTGTGTATGTGTGACCTTGAGTCTCATAGTTTAACAGTCTGATGAAGCTAGCTATCCTAAAAATAGCAATCTAGCCACTAACAGCCGTTATGTAAGACGGTCTCCTGTCTTGTTCTTAATTTGAAAAATACTTTCCAGCTGTCAGATTTTCATTTTAGGAGAAATAATGTTGGAAAGTGATTCTTCATTTGGCAAGCTATTAATTTATAATCCGTGACCAGAAAGTGCTTACTATTTTTCTTTTCTCACTCTGCTGAAGCCACAAAGTCACTAAGTATATTTTGATATTTCATTTTATGTTTTTGTGCTGGGATTGAAACTAAGGCCCTGTGCATGCTAAGCAAGTGTTCTGCTGCTGAGCTGTATCTCCAGCACATTTTCACTCTTTTTAAATTTATCTGTTTCTAAATTTCTGGTTTCTATTTTTTGCTTTTTTGAGATGGAGTCCTGCTTTTTTGAGACAAATCTCATGAGGCAGTTCAGGCTTCCAGGCTGGCCTTGAAGTTGTGGTGATCCACCTGCCTCAGCTTCTCATGTGCTGGGATTATAAGCACCTACCACCACTCCCAGTTAACCCTGATTTTCTTTTCTTTTCTTTTCTTTTTTTTTTTTTTTTCTTTTTTTTTTTTTCATTTTTATCGGTACCAGGGATCGAACTCACAACTGCCTGCTTGCAAGGCAGGTGCTTATGCCGCTGAGCTAAATCCCCAGCCCCTTACCCTGGTTTTCCTTAAAGATTTGTTGCTGTGCTCTTTCTCTTTTCTCCATTCTCCAGGCCTCTTACATGAATAAATAGGCATGGTTTACTTTATTCTACTTTGGTTCATTTTAAGAATAACAGTGATCTTGGTTGTCTTTTAAAATTAGGTCTCATAAATACTTTTAAGCATAATACTAAGAAAGGTGCAGGAGTTTGTTTTGCTTTTTTTTGAGACGGGGTCTCACTATGTAGTTCAATCCAGCCGTGAACTTAGTGATTCTCTTGCCTCACCTTCCCACCACAGACCTGTCACCATACCTGGCTAAGTGGGAGAGCTTTTATTCAGCCCTTTTGGGTTGAAGCAAAATCAATTTATAGGAATTGATAGTAGTTACAAGACCACGTATCAAGTACTAATAACAAGTGGTCTCTGTGTAGAAATCTAAACAGTAATTCATTTGTCAATGTTCAAGTGTTTGAAAAAATGTAAAGATAAAAGTATATATGAGCTTAAATACTCTGAAAGCCTTTTCTAGGTTGTGTGGCTAATTATAAACTTGCTGATGAGTAAATTAGTAATTGGTCCTATTTATACAGTAGATTATATTTCTTGACTATTTTCCTCGTCTCTCAACCAAATTTTTTTTTTGATACCAGAAATTGAACTCAGGACCTTGTACTTGCCACGCATGTGCTTGTGCCCACTGAGCTATATCCCCCTGGCCCTCCCAAAAGTATTTTGTTGATGTGATGCTATCTGTTTTCATGTAAATTTACTTGGGATTCTTTGGTGATCAGCAACAGTAGACTTACACAATCCAGGTGAGAAAAGTTTTTAGAAGTAGGGTGCTAAGTAGTCAAGAGGATCATTAACAATGAAGGTCAGGAATGGGAAATAGGGAAAAAAATGTGCTCCCATCAGCAACTGAACTGAAGGGTCATCCTACCAACTCAAAAGCAAGAAATACTGTTCACATTTCTTCACACTCCATGCTGATTTATATCTGAAAATAGCTGCTAAAAAGGAGAAAATTTCAACCCAAATTAGTAACAAAAAGTGTGGTACTGTTGCTTGGTACCCTTTGAGGTTGTCAGCGTGCTTTCCTCTGCGATTTTTTCTTCTTGAATGGAAAATATCGTTATTGGGCTGCTGGGAAACCTGCGTGTAGCAGAACAGTAGATGACTTGATCTGAGGGTTTGCAAGTTAACCGACCTGAGAGTGAACGCACAGAATCTGCAGACTGCTATGTGCATTTCTGGAGCATGAGAGCGATGAAGAGAGTGTTAGGGATAGAGATCTTGTCACTCCTGATCTGAGGATAATCTGTGTAGCGCCTCATTTATAAACTGCGCTTCTGAAGTATTTTCTTCCCATTATTGATTTAACCAGCTCTTTTCCCATGATAATGAAGGAAGGACTCCCCGAATTTCCAGGACTTCTGTGTTGCAATTTAGTTTATCTTTTTTTCTCCTTAAAAAGCTTCTACAATGAAGAATATCCCTTTATTACAAAAACAGGAGGAATTTCCTAAGTTTTTCATGTTTCTTTTATTTTTAAATTTTCTATAAATTGGGGCTGGGGTTCAGAGGCATAAGCGCCTGCCTTGCAAGCAGGCGGTCGTGAGTTTGATCCCCGGTACCCATAAAAATGAAAAAGACAAAAAATTTTTTTTCTATAAATTTTTTACTTTTTATTTTTATTAGTATATGTTTGCAGTCCATAGTGAGTACATTCATTGCAGGGAGTTGGTCCATGTACATAACACATCTTAAGTCTTTTTGCTCTTCCCTCCTAATAACTTTTAATACTGCTTTTAAAATGGATTGGTGTAGCACCTCACAGTCAAAGTTTAATATGTTTGTTGAAACATATTAAAATAACAGATCTTTTTTGAAGGCAATGGTGCTAGGTAATCAGTTTTAAATCTCAGCCCCTCCTAATATAAATGAAATGGAAATTATTGGTGTCTCTAAAAGATAATACTGCCTCTTATTTGAATTTGTCTTGTTTGTTCTGCTTTGTTTTCAGCCATGTAAAATCTTTGGGTCAAAGGTTAAATATGACTTTTCCTGAAGAGCTAAGAAAAACAATGAGATGTGTTTGTAAAGTTTTTAGTAACCTCTTTATATATAGGTTATTCTAGTAACATTAAATATAAGAAGGTAGAATATTTTGACTGTCCCACCAGTATATTCTGGGTCACCATAATAAAAGAACAAAATAAAAATAGGCCAAACTTAAATGCTCCAAACCCTTTTTGGTGATTTTGGTGAGTTCAGTAACTGCCTATTATCCCCAATGCCTATTTGCTATAATTAAATGGCATAAGACTTTACAAAAACAGCTCTTAAAAAAGATCAAATATTTTTATTGCAATGTATGCTCATATTTTTTTTAGCTTTTATGAGATAACATTGTGATAGGTGCTTAAAGAGAAATATTTTTTCAGAAATGGTTTTATAGTAAAAACTAAAGGCAGCTTTTGCATTGTGATGTATGGGTGGATGGTCATATTTGGGTTAGTAAGAAGTCGTGAAGTGTTCCCTAAACAGAAATTTGTAAAATTACTTGGCAGAGGGATAAACATAAACTACTAGTTTGTTCCTGTTCTCTCCTGCTACTCGGTTACCTAGCAAGTAAATTGACACAAATGTCATCAGCTTGATTTAAAGTAGAACTCACAGTGCTTGGCATGGATAAGAATAAAATATCCATAGCTTCTTCACCATGGTGAAATAGAGTAGAACTGAATTTCCAATAGAGAAATAGCAATTTCGTAAGTTAATATTCCTTGTCTCTACCTAACTTCTCATTTTAGAGTATATTTACTATTTATTTTTACCTTTTATTACTTATTGCCGTCCTACTGTGTCAAATATTCTATATATTGAAATGTTTGCAAAAGGCCAGGTGTAGTGGTGCATGCCTGTAATTCCAGCACTCGGGAGGCAGAGGCAGGAGAATTGTGGAGAGTTCAAGGCCAGTCTGGGCTATATAGGGAATTAAAGGCTACCCTGAACTACACTGCAAGACTCTGTCTCAATAAAAAGTATATAAAATGCTTGCTAGAAAATGCTTTGAAACGCCACAAAATATGTGTTAGTTCTTCATATATGAGGGAAACAGTTGAAGGAAAAGCACTTCACCATGTAGACAGAAAAGACATAATCCTATAATGATGATGATCTTAGTACAGGATCAACATTTTGCCCTCTGTAGACAAGGGAACACTTAGCAGTACTTGAAGACTTGTGAGTTGGAATTGCATGTTACTTGAAAGATCTAATTAAGCTAAATTTTGGTGCACAGCAGTTGTACATGATTTCATGTTTATGTAGCAAAACGCTTTGAAATGTACAATTATTGAAACATACATGTAAAGATAGTTGTGGAAATTGTCTATTATATTTTCCTTGTGTGTCTCATTTGTTTAGAGCATAAATTTTTTTAATTGTTCTAACTGAAATAAGGCTAAATGAATACTGTAACTGAAAATATATTTTAAATCTTTGTCATGAGTTTTTAAAAAAAACTATTGCAAATTGTATCATTCCTGATTACACAGAACTTTGTGGGTGGTTTTAAATAAATTTTATACTTCTATTTTGCACCTGGTGGTCTAATTTTTCTTTTGTTTTAAAAACCATATTTTAAGAAATTAACATTCAATAAAAATCATAGGTTTTAACAACAGATGCGAAGATTTAACATTTGGAAATGACCAAATGCATGCATAGGTCATGTGAAACCGAGGGCAAGGTTGTGGATCATGGTGCAGCATATACTTGACACACATTATGAATGGGTTACATTCTTAATACCAGAGTAAATAAATTAAATAATAGAAGTTCAATTCCTTGGTTGCACTGGCCACACTGCAGCATGCGATCACTACAGTCGGTCAACTGTATAGAATTCTAGATAGTTTGGGTTACAGAATGTAGTCTGTTGGCTTTCCATATGGTCACTCCTTTCAGTGACTGCTTGCATTTCAGTTTATAGTGAATCCCCTTTTCAAAATATTATGAACTATCGAGGACATACAAAGAACTTAAAAAAGAGGGGCTGGGGATTTAGCTCAGCAGCATAAGCCCCTGCCGTGCAAGTGTGTGGTCATGAGTTCGATCCCCGGTACCAATTTAAAAAAAAAATCAGTCCTCCCACATTTACAGACCCAATGCAGAAATGGGCTTCTGAGATAAGATAAATATACACTTCTCAGATGAAGAAATATGAACAGCAAATAAATATGTGAAAAATTGTTCAGTATCACTGGTCATTCAAGAAATGCAAATTAAAACAACACTGAGATTCCACCTCACTTCCAAAAGAATTAGAAACATCATACCACAGTGATCTCCGTGCACTCATATTTACATCAGTTCGTACTAGCTAGATCTTGGAAACAAACTAGATGCCCACCAACTAAGAAATGGACAAAAAAACCACGATGGGGTATTTTTTATGGAATGGAGTACTGTTCAGCCATAATGAATGATAAACTACAGACATGTATAGGTAAATGAATGCAACTTGAGACCGTAGTCATAAGTAAATAGGACATGTGTAAACATCATCTTGGTCTCTCTAGTGTGAGAAGCTAAATTAACAATATATGTATATGTGTCTGTATATATATATGTATATAAAAAAAACTAGCTGAGATGGTTTTACTAATGATTTCTCTGAGTTTACTGAAGAGACACTGTGCTGGTATTGTTCAAACAATTAAATGCATATGTCTTGTGCCCTCGATGAAAGGTTGAGGATGACAACACACAATGTATGTACCAATGTTATCCCAATTGATGTGTTTTAAAACTTTGTTTTAGTTTGCTTGTTCCTTTTGGTACCAGGGATCGAACTCATGATCTTGCACTTGCAAACAGGTGCTTATGTGCTGAGCTAAATCCTTAGCCCTTGTTCTGTATTTTGTTTGCTGGGTCTTTTTGAGACAGAGTCTTGCTATGAAATTCAGCCTGGTCTTGGGCTCATTTTGTAGGCCAGGCTGGTCTCGAACTTAAAGTGATCCTCCTGCCTCAGCCTCCAGAGTGCTGTGATTACAAGAGTGTGCTATCATGCCCTGCAGTTAGTTTCTCCTTGTTCTTCCTCTTCCACTTCCTCTTCTTCTTCTTTTTCTTCTCCTTCCCCTTCTCCTTGAAATAAAAATGGATTTGGAAAACAAATACTATGAAAATAAACTAGGTGTTGCACACCTGTAATCCCAGCACTCAGGAGGCTGAGGCAGGAGAATTGCAGCAAGTTCAAAACCATCCTAGGCTACACAGGTGAGTTTAAAACCGGCCTGAACTCAGGGGCTGGGGATTTAGCTCAGTGGCATAAGTACCTGCCTTGCAAGCAGGAGGTTGTGAGTTCGATCCCCGGTACCAATAAAAATGAAAAAGACAAAAAAACAAAAAACAAACAAACAAAAAAAAAACCAGCCTGAAGTCTAGTGAGATCATGTATAAAACAACAACAACAGAAATAAAAGTGGAATGGCTAAGCCCAGGTGTAACGGCACATGTCTGTAATCCCAACACTCAGGAAGGTAAGGCCGGAAGATCACTGCAAGCAATTTCAAGGCCAGCCTGAACTACATAGTGAGACTCTGTCTCAAAGAAATCTGAAATAAGAAAATACAACAGCTGGCATATTTCATTTACCATAGTGTTCTGAAATAACTTGTATTAAAATTTCTTATTTTCTATAACATATAACCTTAAAGAATAATGTTATTCAAGCAAATTTTCCAGCCCTGCAGTGGTGTTGTTGACTTTGAATGATTTATTTTTGTTGACTTTGAATGATTTATTTATCAGAGTGGAATAATTTTTTTCCACACCGGAGTCTGAACCCAAGATTCTTATTCTCTCTCTCTCTCTCTCTCTCTCTCTCCAAAAATCTCTCTATGCAGTTCAGGGTAGTCCTGAGCTCATTTTGTAGTCCAAACTGGTCTCAAACTTGCAACAATCCTCCTGCCTCAGCCTCCCCAGGGCAAACCCAAGATCTTTGCACTAGGCTGCAATCCAGTCTCATTCTTTTTTTTTTTTTTTTTTTTTTTGTCTTTTTGAGATGGGGTCTCGCTATGTAGTTCAGGCTGGCCTTGAGCTCACTTTGTAGCCCAGGCTGGTCTGGAACTCGCAACGATCTTCCTGCCTCAGCCTCCCGAGTGCTCAGATTATAGGCATGAGCCACCACACCTGCCTTAGCCTCATTTTTTGTTGTTGTTGTTTCTGTTTTTGTTTTGTATTTTGAAGCAAGGTTTTGCTAAATTGCCCAACCTGTGTTTGAACTTGCAATCTGCCTCCTTCGAGGCTCCCTGAGTGCTGGAATTACAGATGTGCACCACCAAACCTGGCTGTCCTTTCTAAATTTTGACAAAAGTTCTTACCAAACTGCCCCCACTAGCCACAAACCAGGCAGGTGTGGTGTTCCATTCCTGTAATCCCAGTTGTCAGACTCAATTCAGATGTGACTCTCAGGGCTGGGGATTTAGCTCAGCGGCATAAGCACCTGCCTTGCAAGCAGGGGGTCGTGAGTTCGATCCCAGGTACCGATAAAAAGTTAAAAAAAACTCTTCTAGTACCCAACCTGCCTGCCAGCAGAGCGTTGTTCTCAGCTCAGCACTGGGCTGCACTCAGCAAACACAGGACTTCATAAAAGAAATGTGATAGAATGTGGAACTGCAAACAGCAGGACATCTGAAAACATCCAAACATTCACATTGGACACTTAGGACTTTGCCCATTGATGGGTGAGACATTCAGAAACTTTGACAAGATCTTTCCACCAAATATCTCTTGTGTTTTTTCAAACTGTATTAAAAAAAAAAAAAAAAAGCCCACTCCTCTTCGTTCCCTGGAGACTGCCTTCTCACACTCTGCTTGTCTTCACCCATGTATTAAACTTATACCTTGTTGCTTTCATACAACTCTGTCTATTGGTCTCTGCCTTGAGTCTAGTTGTCCCTTGCACCAGCTGCTCTATGAGACCAAGGTAGAAAGATCACAAATTCTGGACAAGACCCTATCTCAGAAATGGCAGAGGGATCCCAGCACCAACATGGTGGAGTGATAAGCAGCAGAAAATAAGCCTCTGAGTGTTGTGGTCCAGACACTAGAATATAACAGTGCAAAGAAGACAAACAAGGACAAAAAAATAGAGGAGCTTTAACCCCAGAAGGATCTGAAGTGCAAATGGAAGCCCAAGAGAAAATGAAGAGAGAAACTTCAATGAGGAGCTAGCTGGCAGCACCTTGTCCCTAAGATGAGACTCATTGAGCAAGAGGAGTGGTTGAAATCTTTGGACACACAGGGGCGGCTGGTAACCCCAGAGTCTACCACTGAGAGACCTGGCAATGAAGACGACCAGTGGACGCGAAGGACTGAGTGGTTGGCAGGGAGTGCTGAGGACTCAGTCATCCTATGTGAGAGTGCTGTTGGCTGGGAGCCATGTTGGAGATAAGCTGGCTGAGCTCAGAATCAGAGCTGCTACTGGCTCTGACTACTTAGGGCATCCCAGCTGGGTTCAGGCCCAATGAAGGTATGAGTCAGGTCTCAGCCAGAAAGTGCAGGCTCACTGAGATTACCCATTACCCCTCCAAAAAGCTACTGCTGGGATAAATCAACACAGATCAGCACTTTGTCTCCACGCGTTGTCTACCACAGCGGAGACAAATCTGGAAGTGGACTTTTTTTCCTCCTTTATTTTTTGTTATTGGCTTGTTTTGCTTTGTTTTTTTTTTTTTTTTTTCCTCTTCATTTGACCTTGTTTTTATATGAATGTAAACTAGCTTCGATCTTCTTGGTGGTTGTGGTTCTGTTCTGTTTTTTTTATCTCTTGTTTCTCTCCCTCCAGTCTTCTGCACCAGTTTCTCAAAGTTAGTGGATACCCGTTTTTCTTACTTTTAATCTCTTCTTCTTCTTTTACCTATTTGTTCTCTAACCTCTTAAATTTTAATCCTTGAGCATAAAGTTGACATATTAAGGACTTATATATTACATTTAATTTTATGCTCTGTTTTAGACTTTTTTATGTGACCACAAATCTAGTGCATATAGTTAAGGGTGACAAATTAATGATCACCTCATTTGTCATTTTCTAGGCCATGATTAATGCTACTGTTATTGCTGATAGTACCACTTTAGCCAAAAGTGACATAATTTTTCTTTTTTTTTTTTTTTTTTTTTTTTGTATTTTTGTATTTTTACCGGTTCCAGGGATCGAACTCACGACTACACGCTTGCAAGGCAGATGCTTATGCCGCTGAGCTAAATCCCCAGCCCCTGACATAATTTTTCTAAACAGCTATTGCTCCTGGTATTCCAAGACTGAGAGTGACTAAGAGGCACAGTGCCAAAGTACCAGAGGCGGGGCCAACCAGGAAGACACTTCTCATCCCAACGAAGTGAAGACATAAGATCTTACCTCACTCAAAATCCAAAAACCAGTTATGCCAAGAAGATACCTTGAAGAAGTAGTTATTTCCTAAGGGTTCTAAGTACTAGCAATAAAGCAACCCACCATAGGCTATCACCCTAGGAATCAAAATACAAAAAGAAAAGAAAATGAGAAGACACTTAAATAAGATGAAACCCCAGACATCCA